CAGTATGACCCTCTTTTCAGGGACCAATAAAACCAGATAACACTCTGGAGCACCAATCGGATCAGTGTACACTCATTCCAGTGTACATAGTGAGCTTCTCGCACTACTACCCCATATTTAGGTCACCAAGAGCCGGTGTGCATCTAAAAGTCGCCAAAAACAATAAAAAATCCTGTACTCTCGGGACGGATCCAGTTAGGCAGAACTGTTGCACACAGTTTCGCGTTTTCGGTGTATTAATTGACTCATGGATATCCCTAGTGCGAGCTTTTCAATGTTAAAATCGAAACTGCGAAATGATAGCCTTATAAAGCTTGACCGGCCAGTGTTGATTTAGATTGGAGTTGATTTTTCTGTGGAACACGGGAGTGAGAACTCCCCTGTAGTACAGGTTGTCCTGTGCAAAATTCCAGGACGAGTACCTACTTTCCTGTCCTAACCCCGACTCAAACATTCACCCTAACCTAGTCTCCCTGAAATTTAGCGCAAGAGCTCTTGTATTACGAGGGGTTCCTCTTCCCGTGTTCTGCCTTTTATTCAAATGCAGCAAACAGGCGACACAAATTGAATTGTATTGTCTTTCAGGTTACCCCTCCTAGTGTTTGATAACTGCTTCTTGGGAAAAGGCACTTCCTCTTAAATGAATGCAGCACGTTTTTCACTCTAACTAACACTTAGCGCATTCATCTGACTTTGATTGTGCGGACGCCATCGCTTTACTGCGAAGTTCCTCCGGAATCACTATCATCTCCTGACCACGCAGCGGTCACCTTCCGCAAATCCGTGCCGTAGTTTCGTTCGCGGTAGTACTTTTGTGCTACCGACTGACCAGCTTCTGATGGAGACAACCTGCAGCGTATCACCTGCACGAAATTTGTTACATCATCCCTGGAAGTACCGGCTCTATAACTGCCAACGGGCGAAAGATTTGGACACGTGAGACTGCAGTCAAAGCCGTCGTCTGCGACTGCGGGAATTTTGCTCTATCTACAGATGACCTGCAACAAATAAAGACACTTGGAAGGAGGTACCTCCAGAGGATACTTCAGCCCCTAGACCAGGTTTCGAATGTGGAAATCCATCGCCGATTTTGGAGGCCTGTTAGTGGTACAGTCAAGGGCCGTCATGTCAGTTGATTCGGCCACGCGTTTAGTCGGCCCGAAGATAGGCCTACCCGCGAGGGCATCGCTATGAATTCCCTTCCCAACCGACACCTCCACTGTGGTGGCCAACTAAATAACGGACAGACTTACTTAATTCGGACCCTGAGAGGATGCTGGGCTGGACGGCTTTCGAGAATAGAACACCAACTCTACAACGACTCCTCCGGACTTAGCTGACTCTCGCAGGACATCGGTCGTGCAGGTTCCCGACTCCTTGGGCTGCGAAACTGACTAGACCATCATTTGTGCTGGCCGACACAGGTAGACGTATGTCTGTACACAAAGCTGGGTGCACGGTTTGCTTGGACGCAAGCTAGGGTGAGACATCCGCGTAGGCTTTAACCTGCGTCAAGCACTATGTCTTGGAACAGACGCATTATGGAATGCGGAAGACTGGTAGCTACCTTTAACCAACCTCACCGGTCCTGCCCTTAATTTCCTTGCTAGACCCAAAGGTCGTGGGTTCGTTGGCTGCCAACTGACGGGATAACTCAGCCCTCAGGCCGCAATGGCTCCTTATTGTAGCATTACACCTCTTTTCCACAGCAAACCGGAAACACTCATGTGTGTGCGTGCAAGAACCAAGGCGTCTTTGGCACGCGACAGATTCGCCACTGCACCAACGCCCATCTGTAGTCCGTGTCTCTCCATTTGAGCATTGTGGATGTGAAAAGAGAGCTAGGGAGGTGCTGCACAGGTCTTCTTTAATGCAAACCAACCCACTTACAACAGGCGGCGTATCTCATGAAATGTTGACCAAAATTCTGAAATGCACTTTCGATGAAATAGCATTGCTCAGGCGGCGTTGTTACGTCAATTATAATGCTGCATAATCCGAAAATGTGTCGGTCGCGACAGGACGCCGGCTTTTGAATGCGCCTCTTCCCGGCCCCATGCAAAAATCACACCCGGTAAAGAGTGACTACTTAAGTGGTGTGAGATTTTCCTTTGATTTTCGATGCCCCTATAAATGTGAATATAGTTTATAGGAAACATGCACACAAATATTCTTTTCTGTACTCATTTGTTAGCAGATTAGTCGTCTTCGCATCTTATGTTCGGGAACAAGACATCTTCCGGTTTTAGAAGACTTGCGATTCCCGAGTAATTTCTAAACTAGACCTGTGGTTGCACTAGCTTTTAGCGTCTTAACAATACAACCCGTATACTTTTCATGTAAGGAAAATCACACATTGATCTTTGCTCTTAAGAAGATATCATATAGAGCCTGTAGAATTTTACAATAAAGGCGGACCATATTATGCACTTCATAAGGAGCGTTAATAAATTTACAAGTAAGATGACATTCGAATGGGCATTTACTAGTCATAAAAGTCTCACTGTCATAAACTTTTCAGAAATCGAAATTTTAGTTAACACTTCGTGTGGTACGTCACCTGCTGTACATATCACCACTGTTCCTCCCAACAGTGAGGATCCACGTCGCTTGCGACTGAAAAACTGCCACCTGCATTTGCCGGATGCTGGTATAGTATTCGAGTTCGAAACCATACTTCTAGCTGTCGCCGACATGATTGCCGATTGAGAACGTGGACTGATGCGATTATTGTATACCTAGTGAGGATTCTGGCCCGGCCGTCGTCGGTGTTAAAGAATGAAGTTCAAGTGGGGGATTGCGGGGCCTAACCGTCACTTACAATGTCCGAGCTTCACTGTTTCATGACGCCATGAGCTCCGGAGCCGGCCGATTCAGCATTGATGCTGACCAAGAGCAACGAGCAAACCTTTCTCGCTCATTTCACTACGAATCTCTCCAATGACATTAGTTGTGTATGAGATCAGTGTGCTACCCTGGCACCTGTTGAAAGAACCGTCTGTTGTTTCGACCGGATACTTTGCACAGTAGGAAGAGTTAGACACCACAACGCCTGGCAGTAACCGCGAAACAACAGTGTTCTCTTCTTCTGTATTCTGACGCCGTTTTCATCACCCGCTGTCTTCTGTCGCATACGAGCAAGTACTTTTAGCCTACACTGACTAGTGAGTGCTGGCGGAGGAGTGGTTCCTGCGTTTTTGCCTCAGGATGTTTCTTTTCCGGCTGTCATCGACTACGCAAGGCTGGCTCACTGTCCTAGTGGTTTTGCGGGTACAACACACTGCAGCACAGTGTTCCCACGCCGGAGGTCAAGAGGACAGAATTGGGAAGACGGCCTCCTCTGAGTCAGGGCTCACAAGTGACCGGTAAGGAGCGTTGACAGCCGTGCGTGACTGGCGTGAGCCGGACACGCGTGACGGTCATGCTGACAGTTCGACCGTCGATTTCGACGATGTTCCTCGCCTACTTCATAACAGGCGGGAAGCAAGCGCGGTGACTTGCACATGGATTAGTTTATAGTGATAGTGGATTTGCGTTGCATCTACCGCATTTCGACCTCTTCTCCCATCTGGGCCCGGTGCCATGACAGAGTCAAGAAGACCGGCGGCGAGCGAGGGCGCAAGTGGCCGGCGCAACGAAAATCCGCGCCTAGGCGCACCGCCAAGCTCCCTGGTGGTCAACAAGCACGTGGTCACTACTTTAACACAACGTCAAGAGGAATGGGGGCACTGGCGCAGATCCCAGATCTCGCGGCTTGAGCTTGCGTGTCACTACACCCAATCATACACCACCGGGTCACAGTCCAGATTCGACCAGAACTTGCATATATATCGTGACGGGTGCGGCACAGATCTCACCTATAGCGGGGAAGCCACTTACTTGAGAGGTGCCGATGTTGGGTGCAGAGGGGTGAGCGCATGTGCGATGCATGCGTTGACGGGGAGAGTGTGTGTTGTGATGTGGTTAAACCTGCGTTAAATTACTGCATATTGTTGTGAAGGCACATGTGGCCATACAGGCCCATGCAGTGAGTGAATGTACATGAGCAGTGTGGACAGTGGAGGCAGACGCAGCAACTGTACGCCGAGGTCCCAGGCGCTGGCTCACCAGTATCCGTGCGATGGATTCGTAAATGACCGACCAGGCCGATGCGTAAGGTGAGGGTGCGGTGGGCAGTGTGGACAGGATAGGTCGAGATGTGCTGGGTCGACGGCAGTTGTTATGCTGTTACTGGTGGTGGCGCTGGTGGGAGGGTTTGGAGTGGGTGTGTAACACGTGTTAGCTGTGTTGGCATCGCGGTGGATTCCGCCGTCATGAATGCGCATGTGGCCGAATAGACCCATGCAGTGAGTGAATGCACTAATTCACTGCGAACAGCGAAGGCGGGTTGGACAGGCGTATGTTGGTGTTCTTGGCACTGGTTCGCCAG